GAAATTATACTTAGAAATCGATCCTTTTTGTTATATATATATATATATATATATCCTAGGGACTGATCATATCTTTTAAATTATACCTTAGGGCATGCTATGTACATCATTTTATTTGGAACCAATCCAGCTTCTTTTTAAATTTCTCATTATGCAATAGTGCAGTTATCACAATGTTTAAAATGACATAATGTGAGGGTTCGCAAATCAAAAATTTCAAAGGTGAAAGTAAAAACGTAATTTTCACGATGTTGAAGTTTGGGTAAGATTGTTTGTTTAGCCAATCAACTACCTAATCATATTATTATAATTTGCATTGTACTAGTCAATTTTTACTGTTAATATTTACACCTGTGAATTACAAGCAATTTATGAAAATAAATGCGCTTTTTGGGGGTAGTTTTTGATTCAATCTAAAATACACATTTAAAGTAAAATTGATATGTACTGGATTTTTAGAGCCTATACTATGCTCTATTTGGAATGCATTTTTTGTTCTCCAGATTAAATCTAAAAGGGCTTTTAAATTTTGTTAATGAAAAAAATTCAAATTAACAAAAAGCAGTTTCATTATAATGGCACGAATTCTTTATATGAGTAAATTCTGGAGGTGCCAATTTTCAGATTTTTCATTTCCGGTCAAATTCAAACGGTTAATATCGCCTGTTGGCCTATTCTTTGTCTAGTGAATCCAGTCCGTTCAAAGGCTGTTCTATTTTCTCATTATCTTTTATTATTTGAGCATATGAGTCCTTCAGTAAATATTTAATTGTTTCTTCATGGTTTTCTGTCATTAAAGATGCCATGTAATAAATAATACATCGAAAATTTGGTCTTTGCTTGTAGATGAAATGTATGACTGCATTGATATGAGTGAGAGAAAAAAAAACAGTCTCGTCTTTGGGCGAGTTTATCAAATTTGAGGGGTGGGACAAGTCCATTGCATTTGAGACGTGTCAGATGGGGCGAGTTCATTCCATTTGAGGGGTGGCAGGTGGGACAATTCCATTTCATTTGAGGGGTGGCAGGTGGGGCGATTTCATTCCATTTGAGGGGTGGCAGGTGGGACGAATCCATTCCATTTGAGGGGTGACAGGTGGGGTGAGTCCATTCCATTTGAGGGGTGACAGGTGGGGCTATTCCATTCCATTTAAGGGGTGACAGGTGGGAAGAATCCATTCAATTTGAGTTGTGACAGGTGGGATGACCCCATTTCATTTGAAGGGTGACATGCGTGTTGCTACAAACAAATTTAAATCTTATGAATAGGTTGCAAGATTGTAAATTTATACTTTATATTGGAATTAAGGTATTCTTTCAGCCGGTTAAACCTTTAATGTCCAATTTTATATTTACAAAATACTGCACATAATTACAAAATTTTAATTAAACCATTTCAATTTTAAATATCGCCAGGTATCACAGAAAACCGTCATTCCTAAAAGAAAATTACACAATTCTTCCAGATTGAACTTGCAAAAGTAATCACATCTATGTGATCTTTCCCCTTTCCCATTTTAATATTGCTGTACTGTTTTTTTTTTAATCTATATGAAAACATAACGAGGAATAACAGAAATATTTATTCGGATTTGATATAAGAGATACATGAAATTGAGTATGATATATGTCAAAGACTTTGTTGTTTGCAATCCCATGTTGCACAAATTCTCCGTGGGCTTCTGAAATAAAATAACGCATAGAAATTTTGATTCAACTGACAGACTGAGATCATTTTGACTTATTCTAGAGAAGCGCAACACATCTTATTTGAACATTTTCTTTTAAGAATATATGAAATAAATTACACATAACTTGGATGAAAGTACAATCAAGTTTTAATATACATGTAGTTGGTCGTGTAATGGAGGGACAGAATACGGCACACTGGAGACGGTAGTCAACCTGCTTAAAACCTTCATCTGTAAACCATCGCTTTATGAGCAATTGACATGTGCGTGAACGTGTGTTGTATTATATGAAAAACACTTACCTTACAAAAAGATCTTTGACAGGCATGTCAATCTTTAAGCATAAATGGATTGCCCAAGTGTAATCTGAAACAAGTAAGATAACTTTAATAGCTATGTCGACCCTTATTCTTGTAGTAATAATAATGATAATAATAAAATGATGTATCTTAAAAATTGCTAATTTTTTCCGGGTGAAATGATCAATCCTTTACAGTATATAAATTATATAACCCAAAAGAAATCGCTGAAAACCATCGTAATTGTTTTCAAAGGCGACGTTTGAAATGTTAATTAAATTTGACTTTAAAATTGATGTACACCTTGATAGGGCAGACTTCTTGTATCCAAAACTCAGAGCTATGACAAGTAATATTATCTAAATGAATCAGTCTTTTTGTGCAGTCATGTTTATATTTATACGAAAACATTTTAAATTAAGTCACAAATGCGCTTTTAATAGCCAGGGGTCATACAAAAATTTCACACGTGCAGAACAAAATATAGCTAGTTTGAAAGATTTCAAGCAAACTTATTGTTTCATCAATGGTCAGCTGATAGCACCATTTCTCCTGTACGTTTGTTGTCCCAAAGCACTGTAACCAACATATTCTGATGGGCATAATGTTACAACAAATCGCGTTACTAGTACTAATATCTACAATAAATTTTCTTTCATTCGGTTGCACTCGTGTTTTATTGAGGGAGGTTATTGAAGAAGTAGTGCTACTTACCAAATACTTGCTTCTACGTCTTATAAAAGCTTAAACTTGTGAGTTCACCACACAATGTTTCGTCTTCACTCAACTGTGCCCAACTGCAGAGTGAGTATTCAGCTCGCACCACGACGGGCAACTTATTGTTATGCAAATTACAACAGATTTGGCCCATTTAGGGTGAGAGGTTTTGGCTAAAACTGCTCACAAATGTTCACTGTCAAAATATTAACAGTACGTTTTTGATACAACAGAAGTCCACTTGTTAAAACATACTACTTAAATAACTACTTTTAACAATCATAATCGAATAAAGCGTTTTTATGACTCTGTCTATATATTAAAACCCAAGATCCACAATATTTTATATAATGAAGCCAATCAGTAGAAATAGTTTAATATGGGCAGGACAAACGGGTCCTTTCTGTATAACTGGTCGCTAACATTAACATCGCTGTCATCCCGAGCGAAGTTGTGTTGATCACACATGATTTTTTTTTTTTTTGATACCATTCTTTCTAAATATTATGTAGGCTTTAAAAGACAGAGGTTCGTTGAAAGGAATATTTTCAATTAGTATATGGAGTTTCAGTTTTGTATGGAACAGTCTTGTAAGGAGACAACAGCGATTACATTTTAACACCTTCTTCCTGAAAATGATATATTGGAAAATAGTCTTTGCCTACTGTTTTTTTTTTTTTTTTTTTTTTTAAGTACGAAAGCCTGCAATCAGTGGCGGATTTCTGAAAAAAATCTCACCAATGGTCCCCTCTTGAAATTTGAATTTTGACTAACTGAATCATATAGTTCTAAACCGTGCCAAATAGCACCGTTCGCCCTCTATCAAATTTTTCGGGGCCCTTCAGCGGGCTCTTCAGCGGGCCCCGAACCCCTCGCCAAAGGGGAGGGGGGTTGATTTTGCATCCGCGTACCCCCCTTCAAATAATCCTGGATCCGCCCCTGGTAGGTATTCTCGTTCATATCAGCGAGACAAAACTTGGAACCTAGAACTCAATTATAAATGTTTTGTTGTTGGATTATGAGCCCCTAATTACAGACTTTCATTTAAAAAGGTATTCATTTGCTTTATCAAAGATAAAATCTGAACATAGACCTCTAAGAAAAATCGCTGCCAGGGCTTTGGAGTACTAAATGGTGTCATTCAATCGGCTTTGAAACGGTGATCGTGGGTGCTCAGAAATTTGAGAAACCGATTTTTCAGTTTTTATGACGTCTCCCGTAGGCCTAATGACATGGGTGTAAATGTTAATTTAGTCACTGAACGCTGAAGATTTATCAATTACCCAAAATAATGTAAGGCAGCAAATAAGGAATATCCTTAACAGTTCCAGTTTATCGTGAAATATATGTATAAACATTAATTCCTTTTTACCTTCACGGAGGTTAATTAAATGTAAAAACTGCTACACATTAAAAAGACCGGGTGGTGCTAAAAACTTGGCGGCAACCAAGGCGTTTTTTTTCTGATTCAGTGTCACGATTTAATATGCCAAGCATGATGTTGCAGACCATTCCCATACCCTGTCGTACTAACTTTGGGTCAAACTATCCCACGGGGATTTTCGCTTAATTGCAATTAACTTACGCGGCTTAGGTGTCTGTCACGCCTACTGAAGCTGATAGGGGTTAATTTACTATTGTTTAGCAGCTTTAGCAGGCGTGCCAGACATCTAAGCCTCTTAAGCTGAAAGCAATTTAGCGAGAAACCTCGTGTAGATGGACCGATCCTGTTAGATCGATCTAGGGATGGGAACCCAGTCTTAGACCCCATTTCCAGAGATTAGATCGATCTACTTTAGATCGACCTAACTCCCTGGGGGTTCACGCTTAATAGCTGTCAGCCGGGCGGACACGAAAGTTAATTACCTCCTTACGGCTTGTAGTAGGCGGGACGGACATTTAAGCCGGATTATCTGACAGTAATCTAGTGAGACTCCCCGCGGGGATAGATCGATCTAAAAACTCTGGGAATACAGCCTTATACGTTAGCAAAGGAATGCGCGCAGCAACGAGTAGAATAAACTTTTCAGGCCTCCTAGTTTATACTGACAAGCCACCGAGTAATTACTGAAAGGGTCAGGTTGGTGGAATTACATTGTCTTATGTCGTCTTATTGTTCCCCAAGCAAATCATCTCCAACATCATCTTATGGTTAAATTTCGTCTTTCTATTTCACCAAGCCAAGTTATTTGCTCTGCTCAGACATTTTGTGGAGATGATAAGACAAGACTGTTTAATTCCACACTTGAACAAAATATACACAATAATGAATGCGAAAAAAAAAATTAATGCTATAAATTACGTAAACACCCTCTGGTGATATAGACTGGACGGAGAATGCCATATGGTGTAATAATCTGACAGTAAGTGAAATATACATTTTGGGTGTGAAAAAGTTGCAATCCAGCATATTTCCATATGCACATTTATTCTTTCATTGGTTTCTCATTATGTCTGAAATCCAAACTTTTTTTACATCAAAATGGAAATAACATAAATAATAACAATAAAGATAATGTGCAGAATATACAACAAAGTTAATAGCCTAATAACATTTACTCACATGGAACCTTAATATTTGCACTTGTAATCTTAATGGCATTCATTTATAGAATACTATATTTTGTTTATATTTTTTTCTATTAGGAGTGTTATATCCAACACTGAAACTAGAACTGCATAGGAAAGGGAAATCATCTAGTGTGACGTGAAGCCATATACAAATTAATATTATTCTAGCTATTATAGTAGTATGCCACTCTTTTGTGCTATTAAGTTATTTCAGAAAGGCTTCAAATTTAGTCTGTAACACCCATCCAAATTTTGACATGCCTCAATCTACTGACAGTGTCAATGGAAGAAACCCTGAGGATGCCTAGGCTGACAAACCTCATTTACAATTACTTTTGGAAGAGATTCCAGAACTAACACTTTCAAAGCAAAAAAAGCATCAAATTCATAATTTTGATGCTGAATGCGAACAGGTTATTACTTTTCTGGAATGATAAAAGAAGCATCGGTGTTAATAAAAGATCAAACCAAGGGCCAATGAACTGATGTTTATGTTCTACTGTTGGTTCAAATATTTACAGAGTGGCGATATGCTGTTATATAGTTTCATCAAGTATCAGAGTCAATCTTCTCAGATTCTAGCAAATATGCTGCTCAAAGCACTGGAATACCAAAAAAAAAAAAAAAAAAAAAACACATTATCATTTGAAAACAATATTAACAAATAAAACTGGTGACAAATCTTCATACATATTCTACCAAGAGCCATGTACTGGCTACAGCAGATTGAACAAGAACATTGGCATTTTATATATATGTCCCCAGTTATTTAATACAAGGTAAATTCAAAACATTCACAATTGATGTTATTAAATGATGAGCATACCAATGGCATCAGAGGAAAAATGTCTATGTACCTTCACCTCTTAGAAAAAATCTAACCTGGGTCACATTATCAAAATTCTTGCTTACTGGTTTTTGAAACTATGACCTTCATTCAAAGTACCTATATGGTGAATAGCTGTTTCTGCACATATTGATATATATTATATTAGCCAACTCAGATCCTACACTCTCTCTGAAATATCTGAAATAACAAACACATGCTTAGAACTCCCTTAACAAAGTATTAACTAAGCTCATTTTTCTTATCTCTGGAAACTACCAATATATGATATAAATGAATTCAACAGTTCAAAATAAATTCAACTTGAAAGTATTCAAATTCCTTTTAAACCATATCAACCTTTCTTCAGTTTGAAAAAATGAAGCAGAAAACTTTGAACAATACTGTGTACCCTATTAACATCAAGTAGTCACAAAATGGCATGGATGTCCCACAAACCATGTGACATTAACTGATACAGATACTATACATACTAGTTTTTCAAAACGTGCCTATTAACCCAAATTGAACTACAAAATGCATTAACTAGCTGATTGTGATTTTAGGTACTTGTTTTGCATAACAAGTCCTCAATAGACATTGCAAGATAAAATACAGAGGGTTCTTATTGTCTTTTATGTTAATAAATCTGTAGTTCTAATCACCCCCCCCCCCCTTTCAAAGCAGACACGTGTACAATAGCAGCATCCAACAACATATCCACTATGGCCCTCGTTTTCCCTAACATACAACACATCAGCCCCTACAAGTTTAGCTATGTACAATGATATACACTGTGCCCTGCCTGAAGCACATCCAGGTCACCAGGGCCTTTTTAACAACGTTCTAACAACTAAGACTCTTTGTTTTGCCACTTTTTTTCCTTTAATTTATTATTTTTTGTTCTCCTCAAAATCCTACGATCATAGTGGTTCTTTCTTCTTGAGCTGGTGTTTTTTTTTTTTTTTTACACTCAAGTCCAGTCTATTTTAGTATCTGTTTTCTGTTCCTGCTGCAAATGCTCCTCTGGCAGCAGCAGCCCCAGCGTTAGCAGCCACACCTTGGACTGTCTCATTCTTCATTACCCCAGTGGCAAACTCCTGCCGAGCCTTGGCAAGACTAGCCCCCGTGGAACGGTAGATACGATGGACCTAAAAAGGACAAAAAGTACACAGTTCATTGCAGTAAACAATGGTAACCATGCATCTGAATCAATCTGAATGACCACTCCATGCCTGCTGGGTTGATCCTCTTTTTCAAAGCTTATAGATATATGAAAAGGTTGTGTATTGTTACATATTAAGTTACTGCAATACATCTAAAAACATTAAATTTGTTTAAAGCACTCAATATCAATTTTGTCCACTTCAAAAATATAAAAGTGAAAACTACATTTAATTTGTTTAAAGCACTCAATATCAATCTTGTCCACTTCAGAAATACAAAAGTGAAAACTGAGGTACTGTGAATTTAATATTCATGACAATAACACATAACCCCCTTTATCCAAGAAAACAAGACTAAATATTTCCATTTCAATGTATTTATTGATATGTACATTTACCTTTATTAGTAATATCATATCCAATACAGCCAATATAGTGAAGAAAAACCCAATCACCAAACAGATTGCACCTGCAGCTGGGTCTGGGCCAACACGATCCAACCCCGAGATCCACCCACTAATGGGATATAAAGAAGCAATACAAGCATTAAATAATAATACATATATGTGCATGTTTATCCACCCACTAATGGGATATAAAAGGCAATACAAAATATTAAATTATCCTAAGGGCCAAATGGTACAGTAGTAGGCATAATATAAGACATAAGAAGCTGTAACTATGAAAAAAATCCAAATAGATGTAAAGTAGTAAATGAAAATAACTGATATGTGGGTCCATTAGGAGCAAAAGCAGTTCACATCAGTTGAGTAAGAGGGTTAAAGTACCTGTTATTAAACACTCACCTCAGTTCACTTTTTATTTATCTAATTTTTTTTTGGCAGAAGTGAGCTTGCTCTACATAAACAGGTGGATTTTGTGTACACCAACAAGAACTGGTGCCCTCTTTTACAGATTTTAAGTCTATCTTTTAATGGACCCTTTATCAATGATTTCAATTCATTACATTATATCTACATTGTTTTATTTCCATAGTTTAAGCTTTTATATCTTACATATGATATTTAGTGTTGAAAGACAAACTGAAGAGACTGACATGCTGTAGCGTGCCACTTTCTGCCTCAAATAACATTTAAGACAAATAAATATATTCATCAAGGGTTAAATAACAATGTTATTAGTTCCAAGGACTTTAAACTAATTTCAGGAAATAACTATGCACCATCCACCTCATTTTAGTCAATGAAAAGCTAAACAACATAGCACTTGTATCCCTGAATGTCTTCCAACACTGAAAATCACCATCATGCAGATGCATACCCTGGCAAGCCAACTGTACTACTAACATTACCTTAATAAGTAAGATAATATCAAATAGGCCCATCAATGCAAATAGTATGCCAACAACAAACATTATTGCTCCTGTGGCTGGATCCAATGAAACAATGCTCAAGGCAGAGATAATTCCACTGTTACATGGAGATGTCATTGCCAAGAAAAAAAATTATCAGTAGTATATTTAAACATGAATCATTACTAGTCTATCAAAAAATAAATAAATAAACAAATAAATTGATAAAGAACTTATTTGTATAAATCACGCTATTTCAATGTTATGCAAAAATGATAAGTATCAGAAACCACTTTTATCCCTATTAAAATTGTAAAACTATTTTAAAATTCTAATATGTATGTACAATTATTGCATCAGAGAGCATGTGTTGTATCTTTGCATCCATATAATCATGTTCAAAGTTTTCATATCTGATAAAAATGACAGTCAAAAGTACTTACACAGATCCAGCACTGTCGATTCCAAGGCATTCAATTATGTGGGCAACAAATTGAATAAAAAACACAAAAAAGAAGACAAAGAAGTTGAAGGAACTGTCACTCCTGAAATGTAAAAAATTAAAACTAGACTTTTGCAATATCAAGATAGTAGTCAATATTTTAGTATCTTTTTTACGGTAAAACTCACAATTACACCCCATTTCCATAGATTAGATCGACCTACTTTAGATCGACCTAACTCCCTGGGGGTTCACGCTAAATAGCTGTCAGCCGGGCGGACACGAAAGTTAATTACCTCCTTACAGCTTGTAGTAGGCGGGACGGACATTTAAGTCGGATTATCTGAAAGTAATCTAGTGAGACTCCCTGCGGGGATAGATCGATCTAAAATCTATGGGAATAGAGCCTTATTCTATTAGTAGCAAATCAGACAAAAAGAAGAGATTCCGTTAATATATCTAATGTACTAAATTAATTTTTCCTTATCTTTATCTTTTAATTTTGTTTAATGATGTTTGAATTTTGCTCAACTTACCTGAATGCTTTATAGACGGGTCTGTACCAGCAGATAAATGAGCAAGGAGTAAATAGAATAAAGAACAATATGGACAGTCCAAAAGTCACTCCTGCTCCACTGCTGTTAGCGCTTGGATCCTTGGACTTAGAGATGAAATAAGCAAGACTACCCAGCACATTGAGGACAAGCACACATGCATGGACTGAAAAAATACATATGATTTCTGTTTATTATTTCAAATAAGAACAGTTATTTATAAATGCATCTTTTGAAAAAAAAAAAAAAAAAAAAAAAAACTTGGGGTCTTTCAAACAAGATGCAAATGTTCTCATATTCTTATCAAGTTGGCAAAACATTTGAAATGCCTGAAAAATATTAAGAACGATATACTGCACTCCAAAAAAAGGGACAAAAGGCACTGTTAGGCCCACCACAGAACCATATCAAGTTTCAGTTTCAGTTTATTTGTATTAGAGTCTCACCCATAAAGGTAAAAAATAAAATCAATAAAAGTTAAAACAGTCATTACAACAAGGCAGTTCTATCAAACTCCAATCATTACTGGGGGTTGTTGGGTGGTGGGTTCCATGGAAGATAAAATCTTTACTCTCCCCAAATTTCAATTTCTTGCAATAACAAAAGATTAATACTCACACATCCATAAATAATAAAGCAGCTTCACAATTCTCTGGAATTCTAATGGTATGTCCACATTAAAGTCTTGGTAAAAACAGGGACCTACACAACACCATTTTGGTAGTGGAGGCCAGTTGTTTGCCCGTGCTGAAAGAAAAAGAAAACGTATCTCAGGATATCAGACCTCATAGAATTCTGCATAAAGTTTATTTAATAAATTCAGATATCTAGGAGACTTCAAAAAGCCTTTTTGGCTCATTCTTCTCTTTTTCCTCTAAGCTTAATCACATTCTGTAAATATGTAGAAGGCAGAGCCAAATCCAAACACTTACCATCATACTGCATTGAGCGCATTTCCTGTTCCTTCCTAGCCAGTTCTGCTGCTTTCCTTTCCAATTCCTAAATGTACAAAGAAAAGTAAGAAACTTTTTCTAAAAAGTGTTGCCTTCAACACAGTTTTGAACATTAAAACAGCACCCAACTTGAAGTAAACCAATGTTCTATCATTCTACCTTTCATTTGTTAAGAACTTAAAAAATCAGACAAAAGAACTATATATTTATTGACAGGGAAATAAACATTTCTACAAGGCACCAGACAGCTCATTTATCATTTTTCACAGGGCATCTCCATCTATTTGAATCCTGTACAATTAGCTGTCTGCCTACCTCTTGTCTCTTCTGTAAGTCATCAGTGCTGACACTCTGTGCTGGAGTTGGGGTGTATGCTGGTGGCTCTGACGGCTGCATCACGGCAGGCTGGGTGGTGGCTGGTTGCGGCCTCTGGGGGGCTGGAACTTGAGGCTGCTGAGCAGCAGCCTATGAAATCATTTTAATACTTCAGTTAAAATCATTCAGGTCTTCTACTCAAGATATATATCTACCTACAAATCTACGCTTGTTTTTTTTGTCTCAGCTTATTATATAGGACATAAATTGACAAATTGGATATGTTCAATGCAACTACAAGTGACAATACAACAAGATATATATACAGTAATTAGTGTTCTTAGTTTCTGAGAACCAGCATCATAGTATGATTATATTCCATAGAGCCTTCTTGAAAACTGGCAATATTTTACAAAACAATGTCTTGTCACTGACAAAGAAAAACTACCTTGTGTCACCAGACACCTATGGCCATCTGATGAAAATGACATGAACTTTTCTTACCTAAAGCTACAACCCTCCCCTGAGACAACAAATCACTACCATGTGACCCAACAACTTGTGTAAGGTGAGTCAATTCTTTACTTGAGGGTTTGTGGTTAAGTGCGATCAAGCCACAAAAAGACAAGTTTTATACTGACAATGAACTTGCTTCACCAGGCAATAAGGAGGCTGTCCAGTCTCTTGAAGAGTAAGTTGGGATGATAGGGACCCCACAGGGCCTCAGACATAAAAATTTTGGGTAATCAATTTTGAGTGTCTAGTGACAAATTCAGATCTAGATTTGGGTAAAGACTTCAAAGACTTCTTCAAATGCAGGTTTTTGAGATGACAATGTGTTTGAAGCGCAGCATTTTAAATGCTGACATGAAAAATGGTGACAGGACCGCATTAAGCATCACTGCAATGTCACATTATAAATGAGTAAACTTACTGGTTTAGTTCCACCATCAGCAAATGGATTGTAATCATCCATTCCTGCTTGCCTCTGTCCTCTGGCTTGTTTTACTGAAGGGTCCTGGATTGAAAAAAAAATTTTGAAATATTATTCTTACACACCTTTCCCTTTTCTAAAAAGCATATCTGACAGAAGCTTCCTAGATGCATCTGCCACGTTTTGTTATTCTTTAAATGTGGACTATACTTCACATGGAATGTTGCACATATGCCATCAAGAAAACATAGAGGCTATACAAGAGATGGGACTGTTTTGATGTCTTTCAGGGATATGAGTAAAACTGGTTCCATGGTGCTGATTTTTAAAATTTGATTTTAATGGATATAATGCTGTTAGGACAGACTGATATTATGGTCTATATATATATATATATATCCCACCCATTCATATCTATTTGGATGTTATTTGACGTTACATATTTATATCTAACATTTTATCTTGAAACCATTGGATGAAGTACAGCCTCCATCCCCAGGTCTTTAAATGCATTCTCCTAAATCATTGCAGTTAAAGAACTATCTACATTAGACACAATTAAAAGATGATCAGTTGGCCAAATAGATCAAATTCAATGGGTTTAAATGAATGAATAAATAAACTTCATAAGTTACAAATATAAAGAAAAAAAAACATACAGGTTTTGTATTTGTATTTTGGGAAAAAAAAAGGCATATATATCTGTCTATTTCTACTATTGCTTGCTCTACTGACTGCACTGCTCCACATTAGCACAATGATTAATGCATCAAGGTCAAACACATCAGCACTGAAATTTAACCACCTATTAAACCAGGACGGAGATTCCTATTTCCAGGAAGCATGTTCCTAATGAGCAAACTTATTGAAATCGCTCCCCTTGACATACAGGCAGTCCCGACTGCCTATACTACAAAAACAATTTAAATTCAAACATTTGTGTGGTACTAATTTACAAGAAACCTAGCTGGTGCAGAAAATAAAAACCCACTGAGATAGAAATAAGGACAGTGTTTTTTTTTTTTTCCACAGCAGATGGATGTTTGAAAGTCATATATCATACCAAGTTGATTAGGGCTCCCATTTGGGAATATGTAGTTCCAAATATATATGCAACATAAAGGGATGGTCTAGACTTATATTTCTGGTAATGAAACTATATTTTCACAGTCATTGACTAATAACTAACGGGCTACGAAATCTCACTTTTGTTGCCATCCAAAACACAAAAAATGCCTTTGATCATGGACTAATATTTTCTTCCGAACCTACCATTTTTTAAAAGTGTTGTAAATGTAAAAAGATCTGCACTGATTTTACAAAATTTAAAAAAAAAAAAAAAAAATATGTATAAAAGGAAACAGATACTTGGCTAATATGTAAGTATACCATAATCATTGCTTTAAATATAATTTTGCATGAGAAACATAACTGCAATAAAACACAGGGTGGTTTTGGAGCCTGGTATGAAACAATAACACAACAGATTGTATAGTACACTAAGATCTGAATCTAGTACCCTATATGTGGCAGGATAAGATTCAAATATTAGAAAATTCATTAAGAGCACATTTAGAATAGATGATCCACAGACTTACTGCTGCTATGCTGCTAATTCAGTGATGGTGATCCTGCCTCCACACACGCCTTTAAATAGAGAGTTTCCGTTGCCGGTGAGATACGCCGGCTAGATTAATACGTCATCGGTTTGTGCGCACTTGTGACGTTCACCGCATTCATATACCGTCATCCCATCTAGTCTGCGGAATACAAGCGCTCCTATCTAGCCAGTGCGGAAGATTATTGAAAATAGTTATTAAAGGTTTTGTTTGCTAATTTATATGACTTATATACTTTTTTTAAATAGTTCAAGTGTACGTTCATGCAAATTTCGACTTTTTAACAGAGAGGAGCCGCTAGTTTTGGTTTATCAGGCACGTAGTCGGGGGTTGATCGTGGGGTTCTTACGAACCGCCATTTTTGTCGGGAAAAATTGCACTTTTGGGTAATATTTGTCTCCTTTTTCATAAAAAAGAATCCCCCCCCCCCTTGGAAATAGATGGCTACGGGGCCGTATATTGTTATTATAATATTGGAATGAGCGCCAGCATTCCGGGACATTACCGGAACGCGAAGAGAGAAGCGCGTTACTGGATACATTAGCACATACGTAACAATCTAGCCGTCGTATCCCAACTGCACCGGAAACTCTCTAATATCTGGCTTACTGATTTAATTGGGTTTAATTGGGTTTACTTGCTAGGCGTCTGCAGCAGCAGTGCCTGTGGAGGCGGGGAGACCATCAGGGAATGAGAGGCATTGTTTTTAAGTGGGGGTGGGCAATATTTTGTCAGCAGATCAGATAGATCACGGATCATCTGTTCTGAATGGGATCTAAGAAAAAAATAGGTACACATATGGTAAAAAACATGAATGAAAAGTACCAAATTTTGAGTCTTGAGCAAAATTTTATTTCAACCCATAGCTAAATAATGTGAAATGAATAACATAATTTAAATAACATAAATGAATTTGGAAATGACTGTAGTGGGGTGACACGAGGATGCAGTCGTCCAAATAACTGGTCCCACATAATCATATCCTTAAATTTGTGTTTTTAGCTTACAATTACTACTAGTATGTTGGTATCCTTTATAAAATAATTCCCAACAAAAATATTTTAATTGGAAGTTATCAGTAATATAAACATCTATTTTGGCAACATATCTTAGCAGAACACATCAAGATCTGACCCAAGAAATTCTTGTGAACTTATTTTGTTTTCAGATATGATGGGTTATCATTGAAATAACAAAATTTCTTATGGCCACAAATGTATTATAAAAGAAAATATAAACAACGTAAAAGCAAATATCACATAACAGTCATGTGCTCATGTATAAGTAAGGGTGACTCATCCTTTCTCTGGAAATAACATAATAAAGTATAGACACATAAAGCATGTAATGAAATGAATGTGTACTGGTAGAACCTTTCCCTTATATAACACTAAAAGCATGACAGTACAAATAGAGTCAAATGACCCTTGTTCTATTACTTCTGTATTTAAATGGTTATTATAGAGTCTTCAGGCATATGTCCAGATCAACTGAAAACTGGCAAAATAACAATGGCTATTCTTTCAGAGACTGTGACTGACATTTGTAAACACATCTGACGGACGCGTCTTAAAGAAATTTCTTTCGAACAACAGTACAAACAACACAAAGAAACCTGTTATATGTCGCAAATTTGTGACGTAAAACAAGCATTAATGACAATATCAAATCGCTGTAATTGTAAATGAAGACATTCTCATTTAAACCGGTTGAAGTGTGTACTAACCTCGAAGGGGTTTGCCGCCTCAGGATCTGCAAAAGGGTTAGCGTCTCCATAATCTGCCATACTATTATTATTTGATATTGACTAATTTATGTTTAACTATTGTCTTTCATGGATAAAGACAAACTACACCGAGATGAAAGATCTATAAAATGATGGCTGACACTTTTCCTCATGTGCTCGCGCATGCGGTGTACACTTCCGGGGTGACGTCAATTACAAAAATTGATTAGATTTGCAATGAACAAGCAGTAGATTGACTCGTTTAAGCAGTGGTTGGTTTTCTTGCACACATCTCACGTTTTACGGACGTTGTCATATGTACTTTCCTTCTCGAAATAGCAGAACACAGCGACTTGAAACTTGACCTAATTTCGCATCACATGATCTGAACAACTCGCGGAAGCCATATTTCACCGGCGAGCCTTCGTGGCAGTGAGAGTAGGAGCTGTGTTAAAAGTGACAATGGCTTCAAACGGCGGGTTTCAAAACTCGGGCTATAACAATGATCGACCACCGTCATCCACGGGTAGCGGTGATGCAGATGTTGCAACTGATCCAGCTAGTAGTAGCTTCTTTATGAACGATTACAAGAAGTGAGTTTTTTGCCCTTTTTTGACACTAGTGCAGTGAATTTGGCTTGTCTGTCACAGTGTCAGTGTGTCATATTCTTGTTTTTGACATTCTTGAATTTTAATACATTGTCTGCATACTTGAATTCAAAATTTTTGATTATTTTCTCCATGGAGTTTACATCCTGAGTGTTAACTATACACTGCAGCGCGGTTTCATTACTTAGTCTACTAAAGAGATGTGCGTGAACTTTGACACTTAGGCTTCGTTCACATGGAATGTCTATTTTCTAAAAATCTATTTTCTATTCGCGCTATCTTATGATCACGGTCTGTGCCCTGAATATCCCGCCGCGTAATTACTGGCAGAGCGAGCCAGTTACTTATAGTAACTTATAGTAACTGGCTCACGCTGCCAGTAATTACGCCGCGGGATATTCAGGGCGCAGACCGTGATCATAAGACATACCGCGAATAGAAAATAGAATTTAGAAAATAGACATTGCATGTGAATGAAGCCCAAATTACATTAGTCAGGGGTGTTACAGGATGGGATTTTGAGCACAGCATTTAATAACATTTAAGAAATGTTTGCCTTCTTGTCTTATAATAGTTTATCTGGACTTGCATTGCTTAAATGTGTTTTCATTATGTTACCTTCATTTGATACATCAGAATTTCAAATACAGCAATAGAAAACCTGTGGAAGTTAATTGTTTGTTTGTCTGTGCACAGGCATGATGACCTGAAGCAAATGCTGGACACAAACAAAGACAACCTAAAGCTGGAGGCAATGAAAAGGATTATTGGTGTAAGTATGCATTGTAAGTAAATAAATAAATTATTAAATAAATACTATCCTCTTTTTGTTTTAAGCACTAATTTCTTTTCTGACAGAAAGAAAAATGTTTAAGTGTATATGTGTCCTTTGCACAATAACTCATGTGATTCATCCATAGAAATAGAAATACACTACTGATTTTGCATTTCTGTACTTAAAGAGGCGTCTTATAAATCCAAGTCTTAGGAGAAAAGAAAAATATAATTTTTTGTTTTAACAGAACAACTTGTTTTATCAAGTAAATGATGAAGTTGGAAACAATTTTTTTCCACTTCTGTTAAGCTGATGTATATGATCATTGCAAATTTTTTATGGTTGCAATAGCTTTGTTTTTATTAAGGGATGCTTTACTGTGTCTAAGAATAGATATCTGAACAGTGGTATTGATTCAGCTTTTATTAAGTTTCTTTCTTCTACATAAAAGGATGAAAAAGTCCAGAGAGAATGACTCTTTATTCATTATGTTCATCTAAGGGAGAAAGAATAAATTTAACTTACAGAGTTAATTATTGCTATGCATAAGAAGCAGAAAAAAGAACAGTGATTGATTCTCTGACTTTTGGTGTCAAAATATAGAAGATTCAAAATTACTTGAGAACTGACAAAAACAAAGTTAAGAATTCAAAACAGTTTGTAGTTGCTTTATAGACCTACGGCTTCATTATGCTGTTAAACATATTAATCTGTGGATTTCAGCATTTTGCAAAAATGATATTTGAAGAAATGAAAACATGTAAAAGAAGTTCGTCTGCACACAGGCTTGCATACACAGAGACCTTCCTAGATTTGAATAGCAATACCTATAGTTTGATACATATTTTATAATGTGAAATTATGTTGGATTGAACTGTTTTGTTCTAGGATTTTACAATTTTTTCATCAGTTCGTGCTGTAAGTTAAAGAATTAGGGAATCCAACCCTTGCTATTTCCAAGGAGTTATAACAGAAGGAGATTACACGCGTGGGGGCGGAGCCCGTATTACGGTCTCTCATTGGTCGGAATGAATAGAACCCAGAGAACAATGGATGCCTATCTCTGTTACGCTTAATTGCTATCTCGTTTAAATCTCGTTTGTTAGTATCTGTGCCTTTGTCTGTTGATTTTTGAGGACAGAAACAGAAACGGAGTCCCAAGTTTCTNGGATTAGAGCTGTGGCTGTAAAATGTAGTTTTCGAGGCTGTTAGATTGAAATATTAGGATTAAGATTAGAATCCCTTGAGGCACTGTGGCATTTTCTTGTAAATTGTTCTTTGAAGAATGGGAGAATGGAGGGCAGTTGATAGTCATCCAGCCTGATTATCTAGGCTCAGTAAATCTTTCTAAGTAATTATTATCTTGATTTGTTCATAATCTTTATTTTGAATAAATGACAATGACCTTTTCAAGTTGCTGTCATGCTGATTATTCTCATACGATCTTTTTATTTCTATATTAAAGATGGTGGCCAAAGGAAAAGATGCCTCCGATCTGTTTCCAGCAGTGGTGAAGAATGTTGTGTCCAAAAATCTGGAGGTAATTATTTTCAGTCTCTTAATTTGATCATCAAATGAATTGACATTGAAGTCCATGGTTTTACTATTGCATAACTTTGTCTCACACCTTATAACAGAAGATGAGAAAAAAGGTATTACACTGTTATACCTGAGATACTAATGACAATTAAATTAGTAGCTTTTCCATAATATTATTATTCTTAGGGCAGAGAGGAAATTTTTATACATTGCTTATTTTGCCATATTAAACATTTAAACTAAATGAAATGATTTTGTTTGTGTCTTCAGGTTAAGAAACTTGTGTATGTGTACCTGACCAGGTATGCAGAGGAACAGCAGGACCTGGCTCTTCTGTCCATCAGTACCTTCCAAAGGGCCCTTAAGGTACCCCTCCTCTCTCTCTCTCTCTCTGTTTCTCGCTACAAGTGGAATATGTGGACTTCGCGAAATTGCAAAGGGTTTTTAGAAAAAATGTTCATTAAAAAGTGAAGAAAACCAATTTTGTACTTATTTTGATATAAATCTGTAGTATAAGCATTCACTCAACAGCCTACCTAAAAAATCTGAATCTGGCTGCATGACAAAGCCTATTTATTTGAAAGTGTGACTAGACAGTTAACTCTGATAAATTTTTTATTCGCATGATACTGTTTACAGTGAAAAAAGACTCTTTATGTGACTACTGGCCAGCTATGGAACAGAACTATTAGAATATATTGCCTGACCAAAAGCATCAACTTAGGACCTGATATCTGCCTTATCACACATAACATATTTGTACCTGCAGGCTATCCTATTTGATTTGTGGTTAGAGAATACTGAACCTCATAGGTTTTTAGTACAAATGACATTTATTTTCTATAAAGGAAGTGAATCAAAAAGAAATTACATACCTACACATGTCATGTTGTGAACTGCAGTATACTAACTAGGTTATTGATGTAGTTTATCATGTAATGTCTTCATTGTTCCTTCCTGCTGACTGTTCTTTGTAGATTTCAATTGCAAATTTAGAAATTGCGTTCAGATTCGAAATGTATTTGATTACTGGTGATGAGCTGGGTATAGGATGTCCTTTTATTTTAGGCATTTATATAGCCAAAGATTTGCTTGAAGCTTTGTTATTGCAAACTTACTGAAATGATAAAGGACAGGCTTGAAAAGATTTCTGTGTCATGACAGTAACTTATTATTCCTTTATTTTGGGTCACTGTGGTGACTGTTGTTTTATGCATGATTAAGAGATTTTCACAAGTTATATGTTAACAATTAATGCTGCAAAATTTTAATCTTTAGTATGTAATTTTACATCTGTATAAAGATAACATCCCATTCCATGTGTGGTGACATTTACAGGAATCACAAAAGTTATTTTTATTTATATTAATTACTAGGTAAGGAAAATTTTGGCATACAGGTACAGACTAATCCCTCCTCTGAGAAAAAGTGGTTTTATTGCATGGTTGCTCTAACCAATTTGAACACTTAAAAAACCTGTTTGCTCCATGGTCTCTCATGAACATCACCTGATTAATCTCTTCATTATTTTACCTTTATTTTCATAAGGATCCTAATCAGCTTATTCGTGCCAGTGCCCTGCGTGTGCTCTCAAGTATCCGAGTGCCTGTTATTGTGCCTATAATGATGTTATCCATCAAGGAGTCTTGCAATGACATGTCACCCTATGTGCGCAAGACAGCCGCTCATGCCATTCCAAAGCTGTTCAGGTATGTTCACATGATTTTATGTGTTCGTGTTATATTTTCTTCATTCCTGATAAGCGTTATTTTTTTAAGTTGGTAAAATTGGTGTGAAACTAATGTTATATGTTTTTGTTAATTTTTTATTATATTGTTGGTGCACTGTAAAAGAAATACCTCGGGTAAGTTGAGATGGTTACTTGTACATGTATAACCTATGTAGAATAACCCTAATCTCCTAAAAATGTTTGAATTATTAGCACATTTAGAGAATTAATTTATTTATTATCTATAATTTTTATGTAATTAATATGTTGATTTATTTTCATAGCCTAGATCCAGAGCTGAAAGATCAGTTGATTGAGGTGATTGAAAAGCTGTTGGCTGACAAAACAACAGTAAGTCTACAAGTACCTCTCTATTTATTATGAATGTGGATGAAAAGGACAGAAAATTGCAGATTAGAGATTTGTTTAGGCAATTGTAGCTGATGTTTAATTTTTGAATTTTAATTTTTAAAATTTAAATTAAAGTTACTCTGATGTATATTTTTCAAGATATAAGGGTGCATTCAGAACCAGTTGATCCGA